TCGAGCGCAAGCGCTCTGGCACTGCCGCGGACTAGCGGTATCCGAGAATGCCAATACGGGCTCAGCCCGCAAAAGCATGAGCCTTGAGCCAAAATGGCTACGGAGGAGGAGGAGGAGGAGGAGAAGGAGGAGGAGGAGGAGGAGGGGTCGGCAGTGCTCGATTCAAAGCGAGTGCCCAACACAGGAGGGTTGGGGAAATATGTGTATACCACCAGGAATGCGTGCGCGAGTTGGAGTGCCCCGTAGTCATGTTAAGATCGAATCCTCAAGTACAAATATGGTGCATGCTCCAAAATGTACATATACATGTAGAGTCTAAGCTAGCCCCACCACCAAGAAACCCCAAAAAAACAACCATGAGGCCTTTGCCCCACAACTTAGGCACGATGGCTGCACGGGCCGGAAGCCACTAGATACGAAGGATGATGGGCTACAGCGTTAGAATCATAATGTGAAGAGGACGTCTAATCTTGATGCACTTAAAGACGACACATCGGTAGTGGAGCCAATCGTGTGCTACGCTATACGTAAGCTAGACAGCTTGTCAGAACTAAGATAATCAAGGTATATGCTAACTTGCACATGTTGAAGAACGCAGTCTGCTTAGCTGGAAGAGTTTGAACGGTTGGACAAATTTTACGCGATGCACCATAATATATGTTATTCAAAGGCGTAGGGAAAGTATGCAAAGAAATCCGCGACCGTGCTCCCTTGCACGTTGAGGCGTATTTGAATGCCAAAGGCTGTCGAGTTCAGGCAAATTCGCCGACCCCCCCCCCCCCCAAAGCCACGATCCCTCGTACAAAACCGCTCCGAGCTTCCAAGACGGCCCAGGCAGGCAACCACTGCCGCCCAAAAGGCCAAAGACGCTCTAAGGCGGCCGAGGCTGGTCTCAAGGCGGCCCAATATTGGCTCAAGACGGCCCGAGGTGCAACCAAGAGGGCAACAACATCTCACCCACCAAGGCCCGATAGACGTTTACATGCTCGCCGTCTCGAGCTCCCGTCAGCTCAAGACGGTCCAAGATGGCCCAAGCGCCCCAAGGGGCCCCCAAGACGGCCGAAGAGGACCCCATGATAGCCCGGGGGCCTCCAAGACGGCTCACAATAGGCTCTTTGACGGCCCAAGACGGCGCCAAGGCGGAACACAACGGTCCCAAGACACCTCACACACTGCCAAGAAGGCCCCGAGACGGCCCAAGAGAGCCCTAAGACGGCCCCCGGGAGTCACGAGACGGACCAAGAAGGCCCCAAGGAACCCGCAAGACTACCCCACGGGAGTCCACGACAGCCGCAAGACGGCACAGGCGAGCTCCACGGGAGAGCCTCAAGAAGTGAAGACGAAAAGTTGTCACATGTGACGGCGTTCCTCCTCCTCCTCATCCTGTCCATCTGTCGCCTCCTTCGCTTCCTGGTCCTCCTCATCATCACTCTCCCAACAAATCTCCGAAGCACGGGGACACGAGGTGCCACCGTGTCAAACGTGGCGCTCGCCCGCGACCCCTCGACCAGTCGCCGCCAAAACTGCGGGGCAAGCACGGTGGTGGGACCTGCAGCAGGCAACTGGACCAAAGGAGCAAATCCACTGCAAACCTGCTACGACCCCCATCACAGACCAAAAGCTGCACCCACTCCCACCCCCAAGACCTTCCCGCCCCCACTCCACCCGCCAACCGACCTGCTCGAGCGAAGAGGGTCGAGCTTCTCGGCAATCGCGCGGACGTCGCGCTCTCTCCGCGAAGCCCAGCCGAACCCCAGCCCCCTCCCCGCCCGCGGCGCGCGACTTTGCGACGATGATCGCACCGGGGGCCTCCGAGGTCCTTGGCCAAGGGACCGCGACACGTGAAGGCGCAGTAAGCTGGCAAAGGCGCAGGAGGCTGCAACGCTCTGGCAAAGGCGCGCCCAGGCAGCCCTCCGCAGCTCTTTGGCCTTGGATCGGCCGGGGCCCTGCAGGGGATAGAACAGTGTGGCGAGACATGGCAGGAGGAGGAGGAGGAGGAGGAGGAGGAGGAGGAGGGGGAGGGGGAGGAGGAGGGGGGGGAATCGATCGGGAAGCGGGGGGCGAGAGGAAAGAGGGAGCGCGATCGGCAGGGGGGCTAACGGCCGCGGCCACTGCGGCCTTCGGCGGAGCTCCCCGCGGGGCCACGACGCGCTGTACTCGGTGGATGAGGCGCACGCGCGCTGCGCCACCGGGACCTGCGGAGGACACGCCCTGCGAACCACACGGATCCCCCCTATAGGGGGCCACATGCGAACCCTACCCTTCCCCCCCCCCCCCTCAGAAACCGTGGGTGGTAGGGGTTGGGTACGCATGTGGCCCCCCAGCCTGGCGCAAACTCGCACACTGCTGCCCATCTCAGAGGCAGAAGAGAGGAGCCGAAACCCGCGCGTCAGCTGCCGCACCGAGGCAGCAATCACACTCTAGAGGGGTGTGGCCCCAGCCGGTGCACCCGGAAGCGTCCCTCTCGTCAGTCAGCACGGCAGTCGCTGGGAGCAAGCCGGGGGGTGAAGAGAAAGAAACTGGGTGCGGGAGGTGGTGGCCCTCCCGGGCGGAGGAGGAGGGAGAGGAAGGAGGCGGAAGGAGGAGGAAGAGGAGTTCTCATAAGAATGAGGCGGCGAATAGCCTTGACAACAAGCGAGGAGACGCCCACCCTTCCCAGAGGAGGAGGAGGAGGATGGAGGAGCGACATGAGGATCAATCTCCAACGTCGTGACCTCTTTCGCAAGTGTGGCCCCTCAATGGTTGGACTCCTTCCCTAGGACCTGTTCTTCATCCCGATTGGTATGTGGACGGTCCTGGGGCCTAGTGAAGGCCCCCAAGGGTCGAAAATTAGCGAAAGGGCTCCTTTGAAAATGCTTCACAACTGGCTTTCTGGCAATGGCGCTGGCCTCCAGCAGACGTTTGGGACGATCTAGGAGGCACTCCAGGGACACTCTCCACGAGGAGCAGCTACCAGCAAGCGTCCCGAAGCGAGCAAGCCCACAAGAACCGACGAACACGTCCGACAATGTCGGAAAAAACATGTGCGGTTACCCAGGTGTGTGTCTCTCTTCAGCCACAACGCTAGGCACAAGGAGGAGACAAGGGAGCAGTGCGAGGAGTGGGCGAGACTTACTTGGCAGGCAGGAAAATGAGGACCAGGAGATGAGTGGCGAAGGGGGGCAAAGACAAGGGGTAGGAATGAATGAGGACGAGGACAAGAGGAGTGGGGAGGACAGGGAGAAGGGATGGATGGAGAGGGGAGGGGCGAAGCTGGAGGCGGGGGGGGGGTCGAGACATCCTGGACACTCTGGCAACGGGACGGCCCTGTCTTCTCTCGGAAACGCCTTCATAGAGGGAGGGGAAGGCGAAGAGGAAGGGGGAGGGCTGGGGAAGGGAGCCTAAAACTCTCACCTCGTGACTCTTCCGCGTGGGCCCCTGGGAAGGCGCTGCGCACACCCCGCCTGGCGCCGCGGTTTGCACCCCCCCTTTGGTCCATAGATCCGCGCGGGCCTGCCAAAGTTAATGGCTGTGCACGGCAGTCACCTACTACGAGAGATTGGCTTTGCTGTTGGGGTTCCAGCGTGCCAGCACTCGCACCAACTCAAGTCCGTCCGACCTGAGAGAGGGTCGGGGTCGTGGAGGGAGGGGAAGGAGAAGAGGAAGGGGGAGGGCTGGGGAAGGGAGCCCAAAACTCTCACCTCGTGACTCTTCCGCGTGGGCCCCTGGGAAGGCGCTGCGCAGACCCCGCCTTGCGCCGCGGTTTGCACCGCCCCCCCTTGCGGTCCATAGATCCGCGCGGGCCCTCGCAAGTTAGTGGCTGTGCACGGCAGTCACCTACTGCTACCCTCGTCAAAATCAACATCAAAAATGGCGACCACGCCCCTGCGATGTCGGCGCGCCCTTCAATGTCGATAGACGCCCCTCCTGTGTCGGGGCCAGGGCATAGGTGGTCTGACCGGGAACGACTCGGAAGTTCGACGATGACCGACATTGGAGGGGCGGCGCCTACAAATACCTCGCAGTCACCGCTACTCTGACCAGCATCTCCCCACAAAAAGCTCGGCCACGAAAGACATATTTTAGGTTACGTTTGACGAGGGTTGTCTGAGATATTGTTTGTGCTGTTGGGGCGCTCGACTTCGCCGTGCTGGTCCCGGGCATGCTGGGCATAATAGGCCCCGGCTGGCGCACCCCCTCCTCTTCAGGGGCGACCGCCGCTGAGCGGTGGGCCGTGCCTTGGGGTTGGGGGGTCGCGCTGGCCCCCGACACAACAAAAAAACACCCGCGGCCAACCCGCGTGGCGCCAGGGGGAGGAGGGAGGGAGGAGGGAGGAGGGAGAAGGGAGGGGGGAGAGGTAGGGACGAGGAGGAGGAGGAGGAGGAGGAGGAGGAGAGGGAGAAGGAGCAGGAGGAGGAGGAGGAGGAGGGCGCTCACGCCAGCTCAAATTCGTCCGACCTGGGAGGAGGGTCGGATTTTGCCCAAGGTGCCCCTGGCCCGAGGCGCCACTGGCGCTTCGCTCCCTGGAGCCCCCGGAGCCCGTTGGACCTCCTGCCAGGGTGCTCTGGAAGCCCCCAGGGCCTCCTTGGAAGTCCTGGGGGCGCCTTCCAGCAACAGCCGAGAAAGTGGATGGGACCTCCTCCTCCTCCTCCTCCTCCTCCTCCTCTTCCTCCTTCTCCTCCTCCTCCTCCTCCCGCTTCTGGGGGGCACGCTTGTCGCAACGGGCCGTTCCTGGACGGTCCCAGGGGCACGGGCGCGGCCCCGAGACGCCAGGCACGACAGCGAGCCTGTGTCCAGATGTTGTTCAGAAGGGGCCACTCACACACACAACGCACACACACAAACACACACATGTGTATATGTATGTATATATATTTACATATATATACACAAACAAACAGATCACAGGATTCCCCATATGTTCCCATATGTTCGGTGTTGCCGTCTTCCCCCCACTTCCCATATTTCCCCATACTTTCGGGGGAATCGACGATTCATTGTATCTCTCTCTCTCTGTGTTGTTCCCCTCCTGAGATTCGGACGCCCGAAATGGGCACGGACAACATGGGCAAGACGCCCATTAGCAAGCGGTGTCCAAAACCGAGAGAGCCCGCCGTCGAGCACGCGGCATGCTGCCTCGAAGGGGCAGAGCCCGCGGAGGCGTCCTGGTCAAAATGGGCAAGGATCACCGCCAGTCTTCGTCCGCGTGCGTTCCGTTCCCATTACGGCCGCACCCACGCGAGAAGGGGAGAAGGGAGGTGGAAGAGGACGGCCAAACAACGTTGCCAGCCGCCGCCCCGCCGCAAACTGGCGCCGCGTCTAGAACCCCACAGTCGCCGGCATGCTTCGGCCGCCGCCGTGGGTCCAGCAGAGGCCACCCTCATTCATCTCCGCAAATCCTGCTCCCACTGGCTCCTCCTCCAAAACCCGGTGGGTATGTTTGCTTTGCGTGTCACGGCTGTGGCCAGGGCAACACGCTATCCCTGCAAACCGATATCATGTCTCTCCGCTTCATGGGACAGGGAGCCAAGAACAACTGTGACGCGTATACCCGAGTTTCCCTTCTGTTCTGTTCTGAGTTGGGGGGGGGTGCTCGCGGATTGGGGGAAAGAAACCGCCTGCGGCCAATCATCGGGGGGCTTGAGCAAATGACCCCCAATTGTTCGCCAGCTGGCCCTCTGGGGACCGTTTCTGGGGCCCCGTCAACGGGGGAGGAGGAGGAGGAGGAGGAGGAGGAGGAGGAGGAGGAGGAGGAGGAGGAGGAGGAGGAGGAGGGCGAGGAGAAGGAGGAGGAGGAGGAGGAGGAGGAGGAGGAGGAGGAGGAGGAGGGGAGGAGGAGGAGGAATGGGAGCTGCCATCCCGATGAGCTGCCACCCCCAGGGGAAGGGGCCGAGAGGTCCAGGGGCCCAAAACTCTCGCAGGGTGCGCGCTGCCAGGAAACATGGAACAGAACAGGAAACGGAGGAGGAGGAGGAGGAGGAGGAGGAGGAGGAGGAGGAGGAGGACGACGGGGGGGAGGGGAGGCGGAGAAGGAGGAGGAGGAGGCGGAGTTGGATGAGCACGGGGAGAATGAGGAGGAGGAGGAGGAGGAGGAGGGGATGAGGAGGAGGAGGAGTTGGAGTTGGAGCTGGAGGAGGAGAAGGAGGAGGTGCGAGGAGCTAGGAGCGAGGAGGAGAAGGAGGAGGAGGAGGGGAGGCGGAGGCGGAGGAGGAGGACCAGTGTAAACGCAAGAGCATCAACGATGCTGGAATAACCCCTCCAAGTTCCCTTTACATAGGTCCCTACAGAGATTCATTTCCACTGAGGGAACTGCCTCGTTGGAAGACAACCGTGTGAAGAATACCAAAACATCGCCCTCGGGATTCCAACGCCACGGATCAGCCTGACTGTTGCGTCTTGAAGATCCTGAATCGCGCAATAACGCCACTCCTGGGATTTCAACGCCGCGAACCAATGTAAAAGTTCCACCTTAATAATCTGAATCCGTCCAAGACCCAATTTCTGGTACGCTGGCCATGGGAAGCCATGAAGCTCTTGCAAATCCCACTAGCCCTTTCGGGCGTAGGTGGTCTAGGGTGTTTTGTCTTCCATATGCCCCTCTTCCCCTTCGGGGAGGGGTTTACCCCTCCCCCTACACCCTCCCCTGGACTTGGATGGGGCCGGTCGCGAACGGTCAGGGCGTCCACAACGGCCTCGGCGAGGAAGCCAAACTCATTGGATGTACTAAGGTTGTGGCCCCTTTGAGGCCTCTCGGGGGGGCACCGCTTGATCGATGGTGATCGATGTCCTCTTGTTTGATCGATGTCCTCCAAGATGGCCCCATGAGCGCTCCCAAGGCCCCCGAGAGCGCTTCAAGACGAAGAGGCGCCCAGGAGGCCCCAGGAGGCCCCAAGGGGCGCCCAAGAGGCCTCCAAGAGGCTCCAAATAGACCCCCAAGAGGCCCCAAGAAGCTCCCCGAGGCACCCAAGACGCTCCAAGAGGCCTCGGACCGCCAAGTGGCGCCCAAGACGCTCCAAGAGACCTCCACTGGAGGACCCTTCCTCTGCGTGCTGCCCACGTCCCTATTCGAGGCAACTCCTCTGGGCATCGTTTCTGGATGGGCTCGTCGGGTTACACAAAGCGTCTAGAATGTTACAAATGTGCGCGGCGCTACAGCGAGAGCCACATTGTGAAAAATACCCGTCCTCAATCAATGAACTGCTAAAAAAAACGAATGCGCGCGGGGTTAAAACAAGAACAAGATGTGGAAAATGAATCGCCCTCCATCCGTGAAACTTTCGCAGATGTTTGCAGCGAATGTGCGCGGCGCTAAGGCGAGAGAGCCGCAATTTGAAAACGATCCGCCTACTATCCGTGAAACTGCTGCAACTTGTTAAAACGAATGTGCGCGGCGCTACGGCGAGCGCCACATTTTGAAAACGGCCTGCCCTCCATCTGCGAAATTGCTGCGAAGTCTTGAGATCCAGGGTGGTGAGGAAGTCTCAGGCGAAGCGCCTTGGCCCGCACTAAAAACAGGCCTCG